ATTCTCTAACCTGGGTTTGTTTAAAGACTTGTAGAAGAAAAAATAAGTTGTATATTTGAGACAACAATTGAAATGCACATTTGTAAAATAAAAATAAGATAACAAAAAAAAAATTCTTCTCATGTTTTATGCAAACTCACCTTTTAAACAAAAGCTTAACTATTTAATATATTTATTCACATTTTTTAATTAAATTTTTACTATGTTTTTTTAAATAATAATCAAAACTTATATTGATTCACATTCTTTATCTTTTTCTTTCAAATTTACCATTGTTTCATGATTTTAAATAAAAATAAAAAGTTATTTAAGTTTCCTTTCTTTCTTTTCATATTGTATGAAGTTATTAAAAATAATTTGAAAAATACATTTGAACTTTTCTTGAAATAAAAAAATATCATTGTAATGGAATAACCTAGAATATTTTGTCCACTTGAATTGCTCACTTATTAATTGCAACAAAAAAATGACATTGAGAGAATAATTTTAATGTAGTCAAAGTCTCAAGAAAGACTAGTTTTCCACGAATTTGGTAGATAATCATGTCAAAACCATGATACCCAAAAAATAATAATAAATAAAGAGATCTTATTAATTATGGACCCAAAATAAGAAGCAATATGGAACCTATTAGTCAACTTTGTTGAAAATGCTTCAATTAACTATTTAATCGAGCCTTAACGAGAATAAATATGGATATATTATTTGGTTGAGGAATAGAAGGAATTTATTCTTGATTCACAAGATGTATGACCATATAAACTTATTTGTCAGCATTTTTAAGAATAGAAAAAAAAATAAGTTTATTTCGTAATTTAAAATTAATTTAAATATAAATTAAAAATATATAATTTAGAAAAATACCATAAACGTTTGAAATTAATTTATGTATAATTTTTAGAAACAAATATTTCATTTTTTAAGTGTTTATAATTATTTATATAGAATTTTAACTAACTTAAAACTATGAACTCCAAAATTAAGGTTAAAAATTGATATTAAACATTTCAATATGGCCTCCTTATCGAAGCCTTAGTGCCTTTGATAACATCATGTTAAGAGACCAAGTTCTAAAAGACTCAAAAGGAGTGGATTAGGCTTAAAGGAAGAAAGTCCAAGTTCTTATTGAATTTTTGGTTATTTTAGTAGCTTAATTTCTCTTCTTTGTAAATATTTTTTTATGAATATTTTCTTAATTTTGACTTTGTATTTTTTAATCAAGTAGTGTAGAAAATTAATTCCTTATAATTAATATTTTTTAAGGTGTAATTAGTATTTTGGGAGGGGTATAACTAGAAAAGGAGATTTGAGTTTGTTGGGCTTAATTAGCCCATGAGAGCATCTCTTGGATGCATATCCTTGGTGTAGACCTCTAACTTGTGATGGAAGCCAAGTGGTTAGATGTCAACATCAAAGAGAAGACAAGATGTCTCGTGGTTCATTTAAGACTCCAACAAATCACATGGCCTTGCCTTGTTTGGTCACACATTTTATATCTTGCCATGTGGCAAGCTCCGATTGGTTCTTTTAGTCTTATGATAGTAACATTCCAACTATGTAACTAGAGTTGATTATCTTGAGTACAGGTTAACTAACTTTGGTTACACTAAACCAAGGTTAGTCTAGCTTGCACCATAAGCTAACCAAACTCTATATATTTTTCCCTTTCAAGTAGCTAATCAATTTTGAGCATTTTATGAGAAATAACATTGATTTTTCTCTTGCAAAAGTCTAGTTCTCTCTCTTGGAGAAATTCTTTCCTTATGAACTTTTATCAAGGAATTCTTTCTCGTGACAAGTTTTTTCACATTCTTGCTCATCTTCACTTGAAGTGACACATACCTTCTCCTTCCTTCTTCATCATTTGAAGTTTTCTTTCAAGTTTTATGATCCATGGAAGAAGACTGGACAAACATAGAAGCTAGTTGAAGGGAAACATCAACCATCTCCAATCTATTTTCATCATATTTAGTATCATGAGCTTTAGTTCTTTCATGGAGGTTTTGTATAGTCTTCCATATATGTATTGTAGTGTGTTTGTTGTTTAGATCTAATTGTTTGAATGATATATTTTAGATCTACAATGTCTTGAAAAATTTTGGATCAAATAATTTTTAGTACTAGTTTCTATGAATCAAATCTTGGTGTATTACCTTAGGATTCTTATTCTATAAGTTTTCCTATTTTTTATGTCTAATATGTTGTTTGATATATGAATGCAGTTCATGTAGTTTAGGGATAAATTTTATTTTGAAATCTATGCAAATGCTTGTCTTAGAAGTTGACGTCATGTTTAGTCATTGTTTGTCATCACTACTAGTAGTCCTTATTTATTCAAGAGAATAATGGAAACATATCCAACTCCAATGAGTTCTTTGGAGAGCATGGCTTCATTAGTAGTAAGGACTACAAATTGCATCAATGTTACTCTTATTTTAGTGCCAATTAGGAATGGAACCACTTCAAAACTTGTGGCAAAGTATCAACCCTACATGTCTATTTTGTTTATGGTAGTTCCTGAGATAACAACATATTCTTTTGAATGGTTCTATAATGAGGAAACCCCTACAATGCGTTTTGGACACAGGTTCAAGAATGAGTCAACGAAAGAAACCATAGAGTTTGCTTTTGCATATGCAAAGAAAAATGAGTTGTGCAAGCATAGAGACTGTTGTAGCACTACACCGAGTTGAGTCTGGTATTGTGATCAAGATATTGGATTTATGATTTTAGCAATATTTCAAGTGACAATGAGTTTCATAAGGAAGTAGTAATGCTACTCTTTCCTCAAGATGAGAATGGATCTTGCCCTTTCTTGGAACAATTTTTAAAAAGTAATCAAAGTCTCTTACGCACCACTACAATTGAATGTTGACAAATTGAAGAAAATTGAATTCATTGTGTAAAATTCTTAGGCCCAACACTTTTTATGATCACAACCTTGAGGACAAGATTGTTGTAAATGAGTGGAGTATTGTTAGGGTTCTTTTATTATCCTTAGTCATTAGGTTCTATTAGGCTCATTACATTAGTATTGATATATCTTTAATTGTCTGTTAACAATAATAGATAAATATAGATAATATTTATTTATGCAATTTCTAGAAGGGAGTTTGTTTGGAATGTTTTGAATGTGTTTCTCTTATAAATATAATGTATCCCTCGAGAGTATAAATGCAAAATATCAATTTAGTTTTATCTTCTTTTTGTAGGTCTTTAATGGTAGTATGTTAGGAATAGTGATAGAATAACTAATTGCCTCTTATTATATGCATAGTTAGTTTGGTCTATTTAGGCCTAGCTTGTCATTGGCCTACCAAAAATGGGTCGAGTTAGGTTGGCTTGCCAAAAAAAGTGGGCAAAAAATCCTGGCATGCCCCACCTAAGGATAGGATAACAGGCCAGCCTGCAAAAAAAAAAATTGTGTATTTAATTTGAGTTACTCTTTTAATTAATTTTTTTTCAATAGCTAAAGGACTTACATAAATCATTGTATATAAATAATAAAAAAAATCTCAAATTACATATAATAAAATAAACCAATTGCACAACAAATTTATTATACAATAAATCACAAGTTATATACAAAATAAATTTGAAGTAACTTAATTAAATTTTATATTAAAAATAATAAATAAATAAATAAAACATTAAAAAAGGGATGATAGGTAAGCTCGCTTCGGCCCACCATTTGGCTTGACAAATCAAAATACCTGATCAGCCCAACAATTTTTTATGAGCCAACAGGTTGACCTGTGGGTCGTGACCCATTTTATCACCTATATGCATAGTCATTTTATGAAAGTTGCATAAATTTGCCATAAAATTTTGGGAGCTAAATTTTAAAATAAACAACTTAATCTATCATTTTAAAAATATTGTGTCCACCAATTTATCTACTGCAATCCATAATAACTTAATAATATTTAAATTTTACTAAATATTTAATATAATGTTAGACTTAAATATATTTTTGGTCTCTTAATTATTGACATAGTGCAATTTTGACTCTCAATTTTTAATTGAGCAAATTCAATCTCTTAAATATTGTAATTGAAAGATTTTGGCCGCTTAATTTTTAATTGTACAATTTTAGTTCTTCAAATACTACAATTATACATTTTTAGGTTGTCCCACTCAAATCTAAAAAAATTTGTTAATACAGCACTAACAAGTGACATCATGTATTTCTAATAAGCTTTCTTCTAATATATTTATCTTATCTACTCTATTTATATTTTTGTAAAAGTATATTAATATACACTAATTTATATTTATAAAATTATTTTATGTATAAATATACTAATAATGTTATTGATATTAATTTATCAATAATATTATAATACTAATAATATATAAACATTTTATTTATTTAGTAATAATAAATATATATAATTTGATACAAATACATAAATTAAATTATAATAATTATATATTATAATTTTAAAATTATTACATTTTAAAAAGAGATTAAAAATATACTATTATGATACTTGATAGACTAAAATTAATTAATTTTAAATTTTAAAATTATACAATTACAATATTTGAAAATTTAAAATTATTTAATTAAAACATTAGGACCAAAATCACACTGTTACAATACTTGAAGGATCTAAAGATCTAAAACACAATTAAGTCATTGTTATACATGATTCATTATTCTTATTCTAAAAGTCAATTTAGTACCTATAGTTATATATAAAAGAATACTATAAACAAATGTAAGAAGCATACTAACACATAATTTGTAATTCGATTTGGTTTAAGTCAATTTTACAATTCCAAACTGCAAACCAAACTTCAGGTAATAAAAAAAAAAATCCAAACTGAACAAGTTTTCAGTTAAAGTTAGAACGATTTAAATAACCGCTAATAGACAACCTAAAGACAGTTCTTGACAGGTGGGTGAGTGGGGAAGTAGGGAGTAAAAGGACAAAGTGAGAAGAAAAAAATCATAAAAAAATAATTTCAATCATACATTTTATAATAAATAATAAATATATCTAAAGAATAAAAATTACTTGTCATAATAGGAACATGCTCAAGTCCTCTTGAATAACTTATCCAATTCAACACAACTTTGGTGCTCGTTTCTACACAATCGATCCTACACATCTCAGTTACGATCTACAGTTTAAAAACATTTTTTATTATAATCAATTCTGCCCAACTTCATAATCAACACGTTGAAACTAACTTTCCAACATGCTCTCGATTATTTAGCCCAAGTTTTTAGGCTAAATAGCTGAAGAAATCAAATGGGCACACTACCGTTGTGGTGATTAGGACCTACAATGAGTGACAATTATGAGTTGAATCCTTGCAACTAGATGCTAGAATATTATACAGATGCCAGAACATTATAAACAACAGATCCTGCATTAGTTGTGGGGTGACCTATGAAAAATTGAGCTAACTCATGAAGCCCCCTCCACCAATGTTCGTTGCTCCTTGTGATGAAACTTGTCCCTGAGAAACCAACTGTGACCTTGCAGGGCCTTGAACATAGGCTTGACTCATTCCAGCCCCAACCATCTGTTGCTGCTGAGGTTGCAGTTGCTGCAATTGTGGAAGCTGCTGCTGTTGCTGTAGTTGAGGGAGTTGTTGTTGTTGAAGCTGAGGCAACTGCTGCTGTTGCTGCATTTGTGGAAGCTGCTGTTGGTGTTGCATCTGGGAAAGCTGCTGCTGCTGTTGTTGTTGTTGCTGCTGCTGCTGCTGAAGCTGTTGCTGCTGTTGTAGCTGAGGAAGTTGCTGCTGTTGTTGTTGGAGCTGAGGAAGCTGTTGTTGCTGCATGTGAGGAATCTGCTGCTGTTGTTGCAACTGTGGCAGATGCTGCTGTTGTGATTGCATCTGCTGGTGCTGTTGCATTTGTTGCTGCTGCTGACTGGACAATTGTGGCTTAAACACAACCATATCCTGCTTGCATTCAATGCTTCAAGTAAATAGGAAACGTATAGTTGACTCATAGATATAATGGAATCTCAAATCATCAACTAAATGTTTACCCCAGGAAAAAGCATCCCAATCAAGCGGAAGGCTTTGTCAGAAACAGATAGTAGCAACGTCTGTGATGGTAATTGAATAACTGCACACTGAAATCAAACATAAAAAATTAGCATCACAAAAAATCCTTACTGGGAAATGAAATTGGTCCTCACAGCAAGAGTAATTGTTCAGTTAAGTGTTACAGAGAAATTAAAAACTTAAAAGGGTAAGACATCACTGTCATTAGAACAAGTAATTCTTCAGATAACAATGTTACAAGAATCTAATTGAAAACATAAAGTTTGTAAATATACCGAGTCCAAGATGTAGTCTAAAATATCTAGAGTTTAGGGTTTAGGGTTTTATTGGCAATTTCTTCCATGTTAACCAAACAAATAATGTACCAAAAGTAAAGCTAGAGTATAGAGTAATTATAACTGATAATAGTAAGGAGAAAACACGAGCTAAAATATGTGTTTGAATTACACAATCGGGGCTACATCATATAATATATAGATATTGCAAAAAAATATAAAGATCACAAATATACTAACCAAGGTTATCAAATCAAGATTCAAATTGTGAATACCAAAATAACTTTTTAATCATTAATCACAATATGTATCAAATCATATAAAAAAAAATCAAATGTAACATTTACATGTGTTAAAAGAGAGAGAAACATAGAGACATAATAAGCTGAATGTGTGTGTTTCAACTACAAAACAGAAGTTTATTAAATAGGAAAAATACATGGAAATATATGCATGAATACTTGAATAGGGGATATTTTGTTCCCTTAAATTGTAAGATATTTCCCTATGTGCTATACAATAAATGAATATATTTTTCCTGATTTTCAACATGATATATAGTGCTCAATGCAATAATTTTAAACTTGAAATAGATAAAGCAATTTAACCATAAGTCTCATAAAACACAATTATTAGTTATATCTAAGTTTGTGAAGCCTCTTTTCGAAGAATGGAAATAAAGCAACGAAACAATAAAAATGGAGACAGTTGACTGGAAGGGGCAAGCAATAATGGGGGGCTCCTCATTACAGAGGATCTTCCTGGATACAACTCAACTAAGACGAGGAAGTAAGACTGCAAAAGTTAGGCTCGAAAGCTGAGGGAGACCCAAAAGGAATGAACTCATAAAGGTAACAGAAGCAGCCAAAAGACTAAACACTGTCATAGATTAGGGAAGTATCAGTAACTGAGTCTTAATTTTAGGAGATTCATTCAAACTTAATTTTAGGAAATTCATTTAGATTACAACATTAAATAAGAATATTTGGACTGATTCTGACTTGTACACCTGGGACTGGGAGAATATTCTTTACATTATATTAGGATTTCATGTATATCTTACATGCAATCAATAAACTTTCTGTTGTAAATATCATAGATATTTTAGAGGGTCAAAAATATCTCACTGTATCTTGATATTTATTACCACACTTCCCTATTTCCTTAATAAGACATAGTTGTTTACCCTATAAAAGAGAGAATAGAGAATGTATTATTTACAAAATCAATATACAAATCCTTTTACTTTCAACTTCTGCTCCTTCCTCCACCTGTCAGACCCAGAAGTTTCAGGTCCAACCTCTGCCCCAACATGGTGCATACCTTCCTGGAGCAAGTAGCCCGCACACCACTCACCAGTACAACCCACTTGCTGGCACTGGCACAAACAGGCTCACTGGTGTTCCCGCGGCCCATTTCATGAGTCAGTTTCACCAGTTTTTGTACAGCATGCTTCACTTCTACACCGTTTTTCTATCCCATTTTTTCCCTGATCAAGTTTTTTTATCTGAAATCTTGCTGCATGGTGATGGATAAGAATAAAATCATAGTTTTGGAACCCCCTAAGATATCAACTATCAGGAACCGAGCCAGGTTATGAAGGGTGGGAGGCCAATTTAAAAAATTAGAATTAATCAAATAAATATTAAATTTTATATAAATATATTTTTAAATAATTCAATAATATATAATAAAAATTATTTATACATAAAAAAAAAGATAAACATTTTTTCAAAGACTCAAGATTACAAATATCAATTGTTAGTTTTACATGGCATTAAGAATCTTTTTGAATTAATAATAAAAATTGATATTTTTGTTAACTTTTTTTATTACAAAAGTCAATTAATTATTTCCTAAAAATATATTAAATACTAAAAATATATTAAATTAGAATAAATTGTGTTGCATATTAAATTATCTTTTACATAAAAAAAATAGAATAAAAATAAAAATAAAGTGAATATATAGATAGAACAAAAACAAAAAACATTTATTTAATTTGTCTTAAAGTTTAATTTATTGATCCTTTATATAGAATTCATAGATGTGCATCATTAACAAATCTTAATAAATATCTTCATTTATCAAATTAATATAAAGAAATAAAATATATTATTATTTCTGTAATAAAAACTTTAAAAAATAAAATTATATAAAAATAGAAAAATAAATATTATTATATAAAAATAAAAAAATAATTTAAAGACTCCAGCAGATTGGTGGGAGTCTTACGGTGATGAGCATCCAGAACTCCAAAAATTTGCAATATATGTATTAAACTTGACATGTAACTCATCTGAATGTGAAAGAAATTGGAGTTTCTTTGAAATGGTAAGTTAAGTAGAATTAAAATATATTATATATCTATAAAATAGAATTACTAGTCTACTATACTTGCTAGCTTCTTATCATATTTGCATTTGTTTAGGTCCACACAAAGAGAAGGAATAGGCTAAAACAAAGCACAATGAATGATGTTGTATATGTTATGGCTAATTCAAAATTAGCTAAGAAGAAGCAAACAAGGAAACCAGTTCAAATTAATTTTGATGATTTCTCATCCGATGATGAATGGATTATGGAAGATGAGCATGGGGAGAATGAAGGATTGGATTTGAATGTAAATAACTTGGATTCGGATGAGAACTTGGCTCAATACAAGTTAGGGAGGATGAAACTGCACCTCTAGATAATATGGAAATTGCTGATTTAAATGGTGAACAATATGGAATTGAAAATGATGGAGTTGAAGATATCTTAAGCGATTATGATTTTAACTTGCAAGATTATTTGCTTTAGAGTTTAGATGGATTATCTTTTTGTAACTAAGATAGAATCTCTATTTGATAACTAGGATGGAGCTACTATTTTGTAATTGGGAACAGTGAGAAAGAGTTACAGTTTTGTAACTAGGATGGGGTTTTTACTTTTTAATATATATTAGCAATTTGGCTTACTACTTTATATTATATAAATATCATTGTTTTTTGTTTATCTAGTTGAATTTTTACTGTTTTTTTACTAGGATGAAGCTGTTTTTTTTACTACAAAACTTATGTGTACGTATATATGAATTTCATAAGTTTTGTAGGATCTTATGATCCATGTTACGATCTTTTGTTTTACGATCCATACTTCCCTTTGCGATCTTGAGTAAGATCTCGATTTTGACTACCTTGCTCCAAACTAGAGGAATAGATCTAGTGCTCTACAATAACCTTGAGGAATTTATTTAGTCTCAAATTTTTTCAAACAGTTTAAACCTATAGGTTAATTGACCCTTGACAAGTCATTAAGCCAAACCATTGTAAGGCAGATAAAGAATGTCATGCAACTTACAGTAATATTGAGTACAAATATTATTATTATTAATTTAAAACCAACTAGCATTAAGTTGTTGAGTCAAACGCTCATAGCAAAATCTAAATTTATTCAATGTCAGGAGGAAAAAATTTCCATTGAGTAAGAAAAGTTACTGCATTTAGGAGAATAGGAGCTTTAATGGAAAGAAAAAAATGGAAACCCAAAAATAACATACCAGCTTCTTTTCCTGCAGCTGACCAAGAAATCCATGCGGGTTCATTGCCCGAAAAACTAGAAAATCTGCCTTTCCTACATATTGTCTAACAGCAGAACAAAATGTTAAGGACCAATACACAGTGAGAGAGATGAGCATGACAACAGCTATAATAAGGAATTACTTGTTATTCATGTGGTCCTGAGATATAAGCCGAACTATTTGCATTACATTGGGCCAGTTTGCTGCAAGTCTGAGATCAATTAAATCAATAATATGTCAGTAAATCTAGAAAGTTAATGAATTTAACAGAACATATAAAGCATCTGATGATGATTTAGTCAGAAAACAACATCAAAATCAATGAATCATGAACTGACAAACATAAAAAAAAATATCCAAACTGATAATCAAGAATTGTATATAAATCTTCTTCCTTTGATAATGTGCCTCACAAAAAATAGACATGCAATATCTTTTATATATTTGGTATGAATCTTAAACAAAGTTGATTTAGAATGTGATTGATAAAACTGAATATTTTAGTATACAATTTATTACTAAATTTTTGGTGAAAATGAATCTCAGTACAGAAATAGTAATGCTTGAAAATATGCTTTTAAAATGCTGCATATGCATTAAATATGTGTCACTAATGAAATAAATAAGTGATAACTTAGGTTTAACAATTTTACTAAAGGGCACATCCAAAGATGAGTGTAGTAAAAAAAATTTCTATCTTTTCATTTGAAATCATTAATGACATGCATTTAACAACATTGAATTATTTGGCTAAAAAAATTTCATTTTTCCAATTAAATTGAATTTCATCAGACAAAATACAATCATTCTTGTAAAGAAACATTAATGGCTTTATGAAACAAATAATACAGCAAAATCAACAAGTGCCAAAGTATGACCACAAGATAACATCTATTTTCAACCACATAATATTTGGTAGACTTCTGAAAAGAGACAATACAACTTCCTGAACTTACGTTTCAGAGGCAGAAGAATTCCTGTAACCCTGCCACAAAAAAAATATGCATCAAGATCTTACAACAAAGAGCTCACTACTTGCTACAAAATTACATCAATTTCCATTGTCGAGAATGAGACTGAAAAGGCCATACAGGGATATCAAATAGATCAAAATCAGAGTAAAATGATTTTATCATGCATTTGACAACATACTTCAAGTTTGGTGATAAATACTGGCTGCCCTTGTCTTTGCCCAGACAAGCTTCCCTGCACAAATTTCAATTATTATTAAATATATAAAACCAATGTAGAAGCATGCTATGCAGATCCAAGTTATTGCCACCACTTAAACACCTAATTATTCTTCAATTTAGAATTATAAAGATATAATTATGACCAACACACTATAAATATGAAGATTTTTATACAGTATTTTATGACTTGAAAAGGCAACCTTAATGAGATATTAGAAAAATGATTGCTAATTTAAGGTATTTTTAAAGAACTTGTAGAGGACCCAAAGCTAAGGATGTATTAGACCAGGTGTAATTGTGTATATGCAAGAATAATATAAAGACATGGTAAGGCACATTATTAGCATTAATCAAACCTAATTGATAAACTGTAATTTACAGCCCTAACCCACTGACTCTTAACATTGTATTAAAGCATTGCATTTAAACCAGTTTCTTGTTAAGGAAAACAAAAAATGATTGACAGATTGTCTGAGGAAAGCTTATACAGATAATGATTAAATCAGTCGTGTAAGTCAGGTCAGGTTGCTCTTGCTCATTTCAACCATAACCTTCTGTATTCTCCAGCTTGAGGTAACATTTTTTAGCTGGAGTGCAAGCCTTATTTAAGCATACAGTTTAATAGCAAAAGTGTCAAAGATAGTAAAGTATGTTGCTCTTAATAGTATTTATTAGATATAAAACCAATAGCTTAAGATTTTGCAATAGTTGTTATCTCTTATATCAAGCAAATGTGCTATGCTACACATACTTCTATGCAAAATGAGCAATAGAATTGTCTTATTTTGTGTTCAAAACAGCTGATAATAAAAACTTACAGGTAAAGTTTTTGAAAAAAGAAAAAAAGTTCTCCCCAAACTAAATCAAAACCAAAAATTCTATTTCAACTAATTTTTTTGTTACCATAGTATTGGTACGAAATATCCACCACTAGAAGCAGTGACTAATTTACACCAGGGACCATAAGCGCACACAAGGTGAATATTCTCCTCTCAACATTGTCTATTTTAAGGTCGTATTCAAACTCTGAACAACTTAGTTAAAAGATACAAATTGTTACCACTGGCGTCAACCAATATTGGTCTATATCAACTTATTAAGTAACATGTAATCTGTTCTCAAATTTCTCTTATAATTTCTTGCTTCCCTTTCAAATTTTTTCATTGGTGGTTTTTGAACAAATTTTGTTACTAACTGAAAAACAATTCAAAAATAGTTATCATTCATTATATCTGCATGCAATGGAGTAGAAACATGGTTAGCACACTAGGAGATTAGGATTGCCTCTTATCAAGTTTTAGATATCATGTTGTGATGAGAGAAAAAAGGGACATGAAAATCTGTGTTACATGACAGAGAAGAGGCACTATATTACATACCATTCGTACAATAATCAGAAGGACAGTGATTTAAAACAGAAGTTTGATGAATGAACTCCAGTGTAGGTTATAGGTGGAAGTGAACATACCTCCCAGACCTTGAGATATTTGGATTGTGCTGATTGCATACCACCTGATGTCTGTTGTGACAAGGGCATATTAGCTGCAGCATTGTTCACAAGTGGCTGCATGCTTGATTGTCCTTGTTGAGACATTCCTGGAGTAGGAATCATCGTGCCAGTCCCAGAAGAGACAACTGATGGACCAAGACCACTCATTACATTTTGGTTCATGCTAACTCCACCTTGAACCATTTGGGCCCCAGAAATGTTTCCTTGGCTCATACCAGACACCTGTTGTCCCATACTAACAGGCCCTTGAAGATTACCCAAAGATTGTGTAATCCCGATGTTTGAACTTGATGACAAATTAGAAGTGTTTGAAGTTAACGAACCAAGACCTGAATTTTGTCCAACCTGTGCAGGAACAGTAAGAGGTCCAGAACTAGTAATTGATGTTATTCCTGACTGTCCAGATGAAAATACATTTTGAGCCGCAGGTACAGAAGATGTCATCCCATTAGATATCATGTTTGACATGTGCATGGCAACAGGAGTCTGACCCATTGTCGGAAGTCCCATGGAGGTTCCACCACTTAAGGCAGCAGAGTTCATCACCTGCCGTGCTTGAGAGAGATTGTTCAAAATGTTCACATTTGCTTGCGCGGGATTCACTGGTCGAAGCGGCTGCAGCATTGACACTGTAGGCTTTGTATCCTGAGCATTTTCATTATTTGATATAATATCTTGAGAAACAGAAGATGGAGAAGACGTCTGCAAGCTCGGAACTCCTTGGCTAGTACTAGTAGCACGAGGAACTGATGAATTATGAGGAAAAGCAGGTCCAGATACCATAGATGTTACAGGAACTGGCTCCTATAGAATTATTATATGAATCCAGGAATCATTTGAAAATAGAATCAGAAAAAAACTAAAACCAGTCCCCATGGTTTAGATATAAGTTATTAGTAGAGTCTCAAGGGTCCTAGGCTTACCACTTTTACAGTAGCAGGAGCCACATTCCCAGCAGAAACTGGTTGCCGGTTTGCAATAGATCCATTAACTAAAAACCCATAGAAAATTCATGTTACCTATATAATAAATCCTCAACCAAAACATCAAAAAAAATAAGCCACTTATGTTTGATATAAACTGCTGACCAGTGACCAACTAAACATGACAAACTAACCCTAACATTGCATTTGGGAGTGAGGAAGTAGCAGGGAAGAGAAGAGATCCATGAAGAACACATCGTTCAAACATTGTTTGGTAGCGAAGAAGCATGAAGAAAGGCAAGGAAATTCGTTCAAAAAAACTTCCACCCAAAAGTGAAAAGAGTTGCGCAGAAGCCATTGTACATTTCACTTTTTCTCATCAATTTATACATTTCTTGTTTACAACTTGCATAATTGATTATGTATATAAATATAATCGATTATGGTTAAGATACGTTGTTTCTTGTTAAATTTTAACATATATAATCAATTATATATATATATATAATAGATTATATATAATTTATAACTATATTTTAAAAGTAAATAATTTAAAATATAAAAATTTATCTTCCTCCACTGCTCTCCTTCGTCCCTTATACCTAACAACCTTAACTTCCACTTTATTTCTTATCTATTTCCCTTCTCTTGTCTTCTCTTCTCTTCTCTTCTTTCTATTTCTTTTTTCTCTACCAAACAAAGCATTAAGCAACTACCTGATTGTGAATTTTACAAACAAGTACCCTAAAGCAATGTAATATAAAGATCCATCATCCATGCACAATGAAGTTGCTATTTAAATAATGAATGTGATGTGAAGATAAACACGAAATATAAATAAACTATGCAAACTATCATATTGCAGTACATGACACTCCAAATGTCTTGATTAAGGTGGATGCATATACAGAATGTATAAATGACCTGATGGCATAGAAGTTGGGGGTGCCCCTGTAACTGGTGTGACAGAAACAGAATCTACTTTAACAGGACTTTGATTTGAAGGCAAACTTGTTATCCCCGAGCGACTCAAAGTACTCCGGGCTTCCTTGAAACCTTCTGATATTAAAATAAGAAAATGAGGGTTTTTAGCTTCAACTGGTGGATCAGCTGCTCTACTATTTCGTTTTCCCTAC